TTTGAAATTGGCGCTTTAATTCTTCGCCGATTGATATTTTAAGAAATTAAAAAATATCTTCTTCGTCGATTTCAAGGAGGAGAGAGAGAGACGGGACGAAGCAACGCACGATACATGTCGTCTTTCACTTTTGAATGAGGACGGGCTGTCGTTTTTTATTGTGAAAACAGCACGCAGTGAGAATTCAAATGGTTTTGTAACGGGTACCGACTCTCGTGCCGTCTGTAAATTTCGTATGAGAACAGTCTGCCGTTTTATGATATGTCAACAGCACGTAGTGCATAACTGCATATGCAGAATAACAACTACATGATGAGGCCAATCAATAAACGTGGACCGACTTTGAATAGAAGTTACATCGATAGGATGATGCTGAGACATAGCCACGTAGAGAACAAAACTCTGAGACGTGGCAGGACGATACGGACGCACAGCACGTGTCAGTATCTTACAGAAGTAAAGAGCCATAAGCCAAAGAGAGATGGTTCGGCCATATGTCATCGTTCTTTCTATTAAAACCTCCTCGTGCTTTCTCAGAGAAATACAACAGACGGAAACAGAAAAATTCGTTGATTGATTGATTCCCTTGGAAAAGAGAAAACACAGCTTTGGAAAATGGATATGCAATCGCAGATGACACGTCCTTATGGTCATGATCAAGCAGAGGATCTAATCAGAATTCACCATCCAGGTTGATTCTAATTTCGAAAACTTTGGTTTTGTTTTACTTTTGTGACATTCTTCTTAACTTCCCTGATTTGTTGTGATTCGAATACAGAGGAAGAAGAGCATCAAGAGAAGGGAGCATCTAAAGTGTTGAAGAAAGTGAAGGAAAAAGCTAAGAAGATCAAGAACAGTCTTGCTAAACATGGTCATGGTCACGAGCACGATCACGATGTGGAAGAAGAAGAAGGCGATGAATACGACGAGCAAGACCCAGAAGTGCACGGAGCACCAGGTTTGTCCCTTTCCTTTCCAAGACAAAAACAAAACTAGCGGTTATGTTTTCATGACATTAACGGTTTGTTGGTTGTGTTAATGGATATGTACAGTGTATGAATCATCCGCCGTGAGAGGCGGTGTAACTGGTCAACCTCTGAGTCATCCCGGAGAAGCTAACGTTCCGGCACCGGAGGAGATCATTCCACCAGGTACAAAGGTTTTTCCTGTCGTGTCTTCCGATTACACCAGACCCGTTGAACCTGAACCGTTACGAGAAGCCTATCACGGACACGAGGCACCGTCTCATCCTCTGGCTGATATGTCAGAGAGAGAAGAGACCAGAGAGGCTCATCACATGTCAATGAACACTCCTGCGTCTCTCCTCTCTTCAACAGAGGATGTGACGAGGACGTTTGCTCCTGGTGAAGAAGATGAATATCTCGGTGGTCAACGGAAAGTCGACGTCGAGAGGCCTAAAGGAGGATTAGAGGAAGATCCTGCTGGTCCAGGAGAAGGGTCGGATTATCTTAGTGGTGTGTCTAATTATCAATCAAAGGTCACCGATCCCACTAAAGAAGGTAATAACTTTTAGCCTAGATTTTGGGAAATTTAGGCTCTGGGGTTTATGAATCTGTCTCTTTGTGTTTTAATCTAGGAAGTGGAGAAGCTGGTGTACCAGGGATTGTTGAGTCTCTTGGTAAGATGAAAGTGACTGATGAGTCTCCTCGTCGGAAATCAGGACGAGAATTCGAAAGGGATTTGCCGACGAGAAGCCATGAATTTGGCGTGAAGGACGAATCTGGAATCAGTAAGGATTCGCCGGCGGGATTTGGAGGTGAATCAGGAGCTGGATTAGGGAAAGATTTTCCGACGAGAAGCCATGAATTTGATCAGAAGACTGAATCTGGAGTAAACAAGAACTCCCCGACGGTATTAGAAAGCGGATCGATTGCTGGGCTGGGGGGAAATTCTCCGACAGGATTTAGCGGAGAGTCCGGAGCAGGGTTGGAGGAAGAATTTCCGGCGAGAAGCCACGATTTAGGTCTGAAGACCGGTGATGAATCAGAGACTGGGCTGGAGAAAAATATTCCGTCGAAAAGTGAAGATGTGAAAGTATCGACTGGGTTGGGCAGAGACTTACCGACGGGGACGCATGATCAGTTCTCACCGGAATTTCCTCGTCCCAAAGAGAGAGATGATTCCGACTCTAAGCTTGAGGAGAGACAGGAGGCAAAACCCAGCACTTACACGGACAAGATCGCTTCAGCTACTTCGGTTATAACAGACAAAGCTATAGCGGCTAAGAACGCCGTCGCTTCAAAGCTTGGTTACGCCGGAGAAACCACAGGCGCCGGAGGAGGCGGGCAGCAGGAGAGTCCCGTGGGAGAAGAGGCACCGAGATCTGCCACGGGCTATGGGCAGAAAGTGGCGGGAACTGTCGCCGGAAAGTTGACTCCGGTCTACGAAAAGGTTAAAGAAACTGGATCAAACGTGATGACGAAACTGCCCCTCTCGGGTGGTGGACGTGGAGCGGAGACGCAGCAAGGGGAAGACAAAGGTGTGTCGGCTAGAGATTATCTGGCGGAGAAACTGAGACCTGGAGAAGAAGACAAAGCTTTGTCTGAGGTGATCGCTGAGAAACTCCATCTCGGAGGGGGAGAGAAGAAGACAACCATGACAAAGGAAGTGGAAGTGACGGTGGAGAAGATCCCTTCCGATCAGATATTGGAGGAGAAAGAACACGGTGAGGTGATTGCAGAGGAAGGAAAGGGAGGAGGAATGATGGGGAAGATTAAAGGAACGGTTACTTCTTGGCTCGGTGGTACAAAGGAGGAGGAGCTGAAACCGAAGTCCTCCGGTTCTGGTGGTGGTGAAGAGTCTTCACAGTCACTTGGTTCCACTGTTGGTAAAAACTCATTTGTCCTTTCATATGCGTTCAGTTGAGATTCTGTAAGTGATTTTGAATTTTCTGATTTTTTGTTCATGTTTTTGTTGCAATTCTTAGGGACAAAGGGGTTTTCGGATTCCGGTGGAGCTGTGTCTACGCAAAGGGGACTTCAAGAATCTGGGAACTGAGTTTTTTTGGGTTTTGCTTTTGTATGTTTCTTTTTAAGTATGTTGTTGTTCATGCCTCTGCTTGTGACTTGATGTATATTTGATGTCATCTTAGTTT